CATCCACTTTGCTTGAAAGCAGTGTCCCCAGGTGAAAATATTTATATATCCTGGGCAGTGGTCATTGGTCTGGCTATCTGGTCAGGGGCCTGGAAGGAAAAGGACTGGAAGGTTGGGGCACAGCAGTGTGGGGTAGAGGCATGTGGATGGACACATGGGAGTGGGCATGAACTGTGAAGAGTTTTGTTTCACATTTTAATGTCCACCAGAAGGCATCTACTACGGGAGAGGCACTGAACAACCAAGTAGACAAAATGACTCAGCCAATTGACATGAATCAGAGTACCATTAACCACCTGGAACTGGCAGGATGGGCACAGGAACAGAGTGGCCATGGTAGGAGAGACAGAGGCATCCAGCCAGCTTGTAGTGAAGGAGGTAGATGTTGTAGGCCTATGACATGACTATGACTATCACACCATCCAGAAGATGCCAGCTTCATGGAATGCAGAAACAGCCTTCTAAAGGCACAGCAGAAGCACCAACTCGAGTCAGTTCTCTGAAAGTATGGGATGCCATCCTTCAAGATGCAGTATGTGCATGAAACCAGAGACCTCTATGTAGTGCTGTGCACTCAATAGGAAGACCACATGAATCTGGGAATCAAGAATGTGGATGCAGGAGTGACCTCACCATCACTACCAGTGACTCACTGGGGGAGTTTGTGCTTCCTGTCCCCTCAGCTCTGGGCTCTGCAGGATTGGAGGTTCTGGTCCCCAAGTGGGGTCACATTCTTGTCAGTTACTGCCTCAGCCCTCTGGACTCCTCATGCCTAGGAACCAGCAGGTTGGGAGAGGAATCACAGCATGAGCAGGGATCATTGACCCTCATCAGTAGGAGGAGATAGTGTTGCTTTAAACAATGAGGGCAGGGAAGAAGAAATGTGGGTGGAACCCACCTGACATTCATGCAGTCTCTCGGTACTTCTGTGCCCCATTGCATCTGCCAGTGGAGCTGGGCTGCAACCTCATCCTGAGAAGGGTAGAGATCAGAGCACTCAGGATTGCAGGTTTGAGTCATGCCACCAGGTAAGCCAGTGGGTCCTGCCAAGGGGAGGGCTGAGGGTGAGGTGCCATTTAGAATGATGGTGGAGGGACAAGAGGATGAGTTCCAGCTGCGGCTCTGAGACCAAAGGCAGCACCAGGGACCGTGCTTTCTCCTACTGACTTCCCCTTCCTGAGTTGTTTCTTCAGGAAGAAAGGCCTGTAGGAACCATGGAGAAGGTGCTCCTCCAACTTAGGAGGAGATGTAGATCTGTGCAGTACAAACAGAAGCCTGTGGTGGCCATAAAAATGCATCTCCCAGATTTCCCTTCATTGACTCACAGTCCAGCCACTGTGCTCTGAAATCTGCCACCACGTTTGCGTTGAGGTTGTGCTTCCCCATGGCTGCTCCCAGCCCATGCCTGAGTGTGGCAGTGACACTAAGCGGGCCTGTACCTGTAAGGTGCTGGCCGTCTCTGCAGAGTCAAAAAAGACTGTCCGCAGGCCTGGCTGGAACTTTCTTAGAACTGTGCTGAAGTTTAAGAAGTAACTTCCTTACTCCCTCCCTAGTTTCTTCTTTTTTCTTCAGAGCAGAAATGCCTTCATCATTGTCTGATGGCTCTTCCACCAACTCCTTCTCCATTTTTCCTCACTGGCATTTCCTCTAATAAATCTCTTGCACACCTAATCCTATCTTGGCATCTGCTTCTTGAAGGACCCAGACAGATGGTTTGTGTATGTGCCCATGGGCATCTAAGGCAGGTTGGCAAATACATCGATCTTGTATGCTAAGTCTAGTTAACTGGTGGCTACCAGGAGTGCTTAGTTGAGACAGATTCTAGAGCTGTATCTGGTCCTTTGTAAAGAATGCCATGATCTACTGGCAAGGTCTGCCTTGAGGGCAAAGGAGGAGGGCCTTGAACTTTCGTTAGTAGCTATTTCTGAATTGGGATGTTTCCAAAATCTCTATTGAGAAGGGTCATGGTCAGAGGGGTATTGTATTTGGAACTGTTGTTAATGATGAATGATATTCATAATGGCAGTAATGATTAATGATAATTATGATTAATGATTAATAATAAGTATTACTAATAATGATATAATGATATGATATAATGATGCAATAATATATAATGACTATATAAGATAATGCGGAATGCTGAATGGTAATTATAAAATGGTATATCATTAAAGGGCCTGAAATTATTATAATATAAAACAATATGTAGTTTAATTATATTATATAAGCAATAACATTTTCACACTGCAAGTGTCACATGGAATCTAGAAGAAAAGATTCAAAGCATAAGGATTTGTCAGTGGTCTCCATCTCTCCCTTGGGGTGACTGCTCTGATGAGCTGATGTGATTATTTTTGTTTCCTTAGCAGGTCTGTAGTATGTAGCCCATCGTAACATGATGCTCTTCATTAATATTACTTATTTCCCTTTATGACTTTATACTTGTCAAGCAACATTATGACATTAATTCAATTTTATAAATAGATTTTCCTACTAGAAGGAGAATGCACTGATCAGTTGAAATAGGTATTCTAATATATCTAGCATTTATTTCCTTCCTATAAAAAATCATTTTTAAAATTATAAAAATAACACATGCTTATCATTAAATAACTTTAAAAGTATAAAGCAAAATTTACAGTCCAATTCTTATGTACAGTTTCTTTTCAGTCCTACTCTGTAGGAGTAACACTTTATTTTTTGTTGTAAATTAATTTTCCCCACTGGACATCTGATGCTCTAAGTGCTTTCTTTATGACTTTGTTTTAAAAGAATCTCTTGTGTATTTACCCAGAATGAACTAACAAAACTGAGTTTCTAAATACACAAAACCCAGGATCAGCCCTTTCAGTCAAAGTTCTTTTTATCTTCATGAGTCAGTCTTTCATTAAGTCTTTTATGAAGGCAAACATGCTTTGCAAAAAGTGTAAGCTTTAGCTACCTCTCCCAGAATATAAGAGATTAATTTGGGAGATTATGTGTAATCACCACATTTTATGGTTTATTCAGTTATATGAACTAGCACCATTCATTTATTTTTGTGTGAATTATATTATAGTTATTTTCAAGGAGACTTTTCACTGCCCCAAGGATGGAGGGGGGGAGGGATTTAAGAAAAGTGACTTCAATCTTAGTATGAACTCTGTAGGCACCTACTTCAATAGTTTTAAAAAGAATGTATGAAGACAACTCTGAAATGATGTAGATTATAGATTGGCTCTTTTAAAAAAAATAAAGATTATTATTGGCCATTTTCAAACTCAAAGCAATTCCTGATGAGGAAAATTCGTTTCCTGAGATGAATAAGGGTTATACTTTTAATGTACATGAAATTTATTTCAAAAAATGATCTGCAATAGAGAACATCTGGGTCTTTGTTGAAAGTGCTTTTATTCAAGGATTTATAGATGAAATCCTTGAGTTTAAGATCTTCAAGGGAAATTATTATTTTAAAAACAAATACAACTTATCAAAATATTACTGATAAAACTATAAAGACAAATGTAATTTTGTAACTTTAGAAAAGTCTAAATAATGGTTTCATTTAAAGAGGGAGAGACTACATACTTTTCCTAAATAACCAACCTACAAAGTGTATCATTTTATTTAAGGCTGATGATTTTTAAAAAGAACTTCATACAAAAATCAAAAAAATTTGTGAAAATATTTTTTTTAGGTGGGACAAATATGATGATGAACAATAATACATAAATCTGGTGTGGGGATAAAAATTCAAGATTTTTTTTCATGTAGATTAAAAAAAGTACATTTTTTCCCTAAATCAATTTATTTATTCTCATTTATTCTCTCGTCCTTTCATAAAATTAGAATTAGTTTTTTCTTTTGATTAACACCAAAATATTACCACAAAAATGAAAATACTCTAAAATATTCCTAGACCTAATTTCTCTCTCTTTTTGATTAAAGAAAACCTGGAATTATTTTGCAGCACATTTGTTATTTGCCAGTTTCATAAAATGGAATGCTGTAAAGACACTTGCAAAAATATACAATAGAAATATCTGGCCTGAGGCTGTGATTTAGTAAACAGTGCATTTGTTCAAGACAGTCCTGGAAGTGCAAGCCCAGTGTTTATACTGGCTCTGTTCTCTAAACTTCATTGCCTAGTGTTAGAAGTTAGATATGATTCAGTAACTACTTAAGGCAAAATTACTGTACCTTCTGCTCTGTATATAACAAAGAACGATGGTGGAATGAGAATGACATTCCAGTTGCCGGGCCCACTAGATTAGATGGATAGGTTTGATCATCTGCTTGAGATCAATGATTGTTGCTTGAGGAGCTTTAATAGATTTGATCTTTTCTTTTTAAATTGAAGCTTACTCATGGGTTAGGCAAAATACCAAGGTCAGAGTGAAAATTTGCACACTGCCTTCCTATTGAATTTCTCTCTGGCTCAGGAGAAATGACGCTCTGCCTCCACGAGGACAGCAGCTTCCCTTGTCGCAGCGCCGTGGGCTTCTCAGTGCAGATGCTAAAATGAAATGGGCTCATGCCGTTCTGGCATATGAAATCGGTCTGTCCTGGAAAGTTCTGATTTTACACTTTTGCCCTTATTTTCATATACGTGGAGTGGGAATTTACTTTACATATCAGCATACACGAATAACCTTTTCATTTTGCCATTTGAATTGCAATAAATGTTTGAAAGCATACTTGCAAATGTTAGCTCATGGCTCAGCCAGATGATAAAACATTATTAATAAAGTACTAAGATAAACAAATGCACTCTAATGGCACATTTTTGGTCTTCTCAACTTGCTCAATTTTCCAGGTCTGATAGGTCTAGTTTTTATAGATCTGATTTAAACTTGAATTTAGTAGCTAGGCCAACGGGATTTAAATTCCCAAAGACAGCACACATTTTGGGGCACAAATGAAATAACAAAATAAACACATGGTAAGATCAACTTTTGGTTGATATGAGAGCCCAGTAGGACTAATCTACTTTCTGAAAAATAATTAAGATTCCAAAGTAATAGTACACACATATAAACCAGTTTATTAGATTGTCAGTGATACTTTGAGACATATTCAAGTTATTTTACTTCATATAAACAGGAAGGGAAGAAAGTTTTAAACTTCAAGCTTTGTTCAGCATGTGTGCAGTTAGCATCCACAAAAGCACCATTGGATATGGAAGAATTAGCACCACAGAATTTTAGGACCTAACTGTTAACATGCATCACTGAAAAACTTGGAACATGGAAACAGAAGAAGTACGTGGTATGGTCCATTAGAAACAATACAAGGCAATTTATGATTCGTTTTCATACAGTACGATACAATCACCAATCAATGAGAACCTTTTAAGTACAATACAGGACAAAAAACACTTTGTACCCTGTTAACACTAAAGCAGTTACAGATTTAGAAACATGTTTCTTGTGCGAGGCAGTGGACTGAAATGATCACTCCTCCTCAATTTTTAAATTCAGAGTTATTTAGTTACATGATCTCTTTAGAAAGTATTTTCAAATTTATGTCTCTCTACCTCAATGCTGACAAACAGTTTTGTGAAAACTGAAAAACTTGATAAATTAAAAAAACAAAACAAACAAAAAGCCCTGATAGAGTCAAGAAGTACTCCAGTGTGGTGGAAGATATTCCCCATAAGATCAGTTTGAAATGGATGCCAGTGGCGTTGACACTTGTCTTCCCTTCCGTGGAGGAATGTCAAGCAGAAGCCTTGCACCCTCGATGAGCTTCGGTTCATTTCTTTCACGCAAAGCCTTTATTCCGAAGTGTAACATAAGAGACATTCCTTATTCCTCAACTGTTTTTGTAGTGTCATAGGGCTGTTCCTTATGCTGGATTTGACAACAGTGAAAAGGGTTGATATTCGCTCTGGATTTAGGGTAATTTGTGAGCTAAAGAAAAAATATTAATTTAAATTTAGCATATGTGAAAATTTAAAGGGAGTGTCACTATTTTCACAGTACAAACCCATCATGAATATCATTGAAAACCTTTCTGTTAGAAAGCATGTAACAAACCCTCAATTTTAAGTTGGGTCTAGGCCAGTTTTGGCATATTAGAAGATTGCTGTATAAGAAATGTGCAATAACAATAGATAGATACAGGTATATTCAGATCTCAATGTGTTGATGTCAAGGAAAATATATTTGTAGCCACCAAGAGAAGAATATACCTTGAAGCATCTATGCAGACACATGAATCAATCATGTGTCTGCCCAACTTCTAACTCTGGAATAGTGATAACAGGGTTGTTTAAGAAAAAGTACTCAATTACAGTCCAGCAGCAATTTTATGTTGTATATTTTAACAGCAAAACATTTTTGAAAATAGTCAGTACTATACGGTAAGTTTACAATTCACCATTTCTATATTTGTAATACATGCGTTTATTTGTTTTCCCAGTTTAAAAAAAATCCCACTAGGACCAACATCTTTCAGAACAACAATCTAACATTAAACAAAACCTTCTAAGGAAAATATTTAGCATCACAGAAAGTTGAGAAAAGTCTGTTACTCAGCATCACAAAATACTCAGTAGATCTACATTTAAGATTGTTCATGCCATGACATTAACACAGCTTTGGGTTAATATATTTTATTTTAAAAAGAAACAAAGAAACAAACCAAAGAACTGGCATGGAATTTATCTTTAGTCTGTCCTTGGTAAGAGAAGACCGACCTCTAGTGAACTTGACTCCTTTCCACAATGATAACTGTGTCTATGAAGCAGCATTTACATTTAATAAAACAGTTTTTAAACTACTGAGAGAATGGTCACCACAGAGAAAAAAATCAAAGCGAAGTAAAATAATAGACAAATGTTTTTTTCTTAAAGGAACTGCTCCTGAACAAAAAGGAAAGCAAAGTTTGTTCACTTTGAAATATTCTTCTGTTGAAAAACATTCTTGGAGAAAAGTTAGCCTATCCTTATAAATGTCAGGAAGATGTACGGTTTAACTTGAGAAAAAAATTTAACTTTTGAAAACAATGGTCTATTGCTTTTCTGTTGAATCAAATCCATTGTATAATCAACTAGTAATTTTCTGAAGAGAAATAGCTATATGCAGCGGCACATCCACATTGCCGATTCCAATTTGATGATTCACCAGGCATGGCTGCCTTGAGCACAGAAGAAGCAGAACTCCTTTCTTAATGGTCTACGGTTACATTACAAAAACCTCAGCTAAAACAAAATTGAGTTGTGACAGGCTGGCTTAATAGTTTTGATTACCTTTATATTGGGCCAACATTTCAATACAAGATAGTACCAATTAAAAATAAGATTTAAAAAATAAAAGCTGTCTAACATCCTTCAATGAAAAAACCTTAAAATTTGACATTGTAACCTCAAGTGATTGTAGACTTAGACTAACGGTTTTGCCACTATCACATCACTTTTGTTACTCTTGAGTTTTATTTCTGTATTGTTCATTGGTTATGTTATACAATTTTCTGTTAAGTTAAAATAGTTTGACTTATTACATTATATAAGACGCTTTAGAAAAACACACAAGTAGGATAAATTTATAAAAGGATAAAGACTATGTTAAGGGAGTTTAGACAAATTCTATACAGGTAAATAATGAGTTCAAGGTAATAAAGTGCCTTCATTTCCAGGTAATTAATTTTTCACTAAAATATTTTAAGGCTTTGTAATATCATAAGTTGGATAATATATGGGTTTTGTAATTAATTAGCATTCTTTTATAGTACTTACTTCATTTAATCTTTTAATCCATATTAGGTAATTTTTAATAATTAGGAGCTTAAAAAGATAAAATTTGAATTGTAAATTCTGAATTCATTTTGTGAGGAGAGGAAAAGACGTATAATTTCTAAATGCTGTGATTTGTACATAAGGCTCACGTGTTGCTTCTGAACGACCTAGCTTATGTCATAATATATAGCAGCCAATACCCCTCAAAAATTCAACAGAATATTTAAGCTCGTGGCCAACAGGGCCATCATTTCATTCATTCTATATTCTGTTGTCTTCACATTTAAAATGATTGTGCAGCCTCACATGAAAAAGGCCATAAAAAACCTAAGATGAATTTCTAAAATACAAGCACAATAAATATTTTTTATTGCAGCAGCTTATGTATAATCTGTATTGATGCCAACATCTAATGTCAAAGCATTTATATTTGTTTTCACTTTGCTTCTACCATCCATGAGTGCGTCACAGTAACATACTGGTAACCTCTTAGAAGTATGAATAATAGCCATAATCGTACAGAACTCTCTCTCTTCTCATCAGCTCTCTGGAGGATATGAGGGTATTTAAGCACAACCGTGTACTTAGTTGTTTCGGCAGCTTCAGATTTTAAGATAAATTACAATTATATGGACATCAACTTGTTCAACTGGTTATGACCAACAAAAACTAATTACATGTTTATTATATTTCAAGAATTTAGTTATTTTTGTCAGAAAGTTACTGAAGTGAGGCACACAATTAAATGGCCATGATACCTAAAATGCTTTTCCAATTACCATGGGATTAATTTAAAATGTGCCTTAAATGAAAGGTTTTTGAGGTTAGGATGAAGGAGGAAAGCTAAAACTCAGTGCAAAGAATGGTTTAAGGGAAATATTCCACATAATTAGAAAAACAGGAACTACCAGTAGGAAAAAAATACTAGTCTTAAAATTGGGTTTGGTTTTTAATTTAAAGCCTAGTAAGGGTAATTCCTGGGAATTAAAAAAAATTTAAATGTCATAAACATTTATAATTGCACATTCCTTTACCAAAGTGCCACAAGTTACCATTTTAAAAAATGTATACAATGCTACTTTTCAAAATAGAAGTACATATAAAGTTTTACCTTTTTTCATAATAGTATACAGTGGTACAGTTTCACAAGCTTGGCACAAATATAACCAGGATGATGAATTTCAACTTCCTAAACAGAGTACAGTGTATTTTAAGAAAATAACTTGGCTATGATTAGATTCAAATCCAAGTCTAGCCAAAGCATTCTCATAAAATCTAAAAACATCGTGAGAGTTTATTTAGGTAAGTTTTAGTAATACTCTGCCATGCAATGCACAGATATACACTTTAAAAACAACATTGGTTTAGTTATCCTGTTTTAATCTGATTACATATTATACTTATTCTCTCTAATCACTGAAGCTACAATACATGTAATAACTGAGTTTTGAGAACAGTATGAAACTCTGAGGTTTCTAGCCTTAATTGCTCATTCCTATTAAGCACATTGAAAATGTCTGATGCATGGGCTATTAATTTTTATGCTTCTACCTCTATTCTAAATAGAAACACTAAATGGAAATGTGTAGAAATAATCTAATAAGAACAAAAGGATATTAGAGACGAACACACCAATATATAGAACAGATAAAAAGTGTGTGAAAGTTCTCCATATTAATGAATTTGTTAAGGCAGGGGAAGACAATAAAAATTAAGATCTCTTTACTAAGTAATAATTATATTAACATATTTTAAAATAAGTGGCATGCATATAAGGTTAAATTTTAAATATTTTTGTTATTTGAATGTGATGAAGTTAGAGACATGTCTCATTATAAACTGAAACCCCCCCCCCC